TCCAGGCTCTGGGCCATCGGGCAATGGTGTTGCGCTTCGTTTGCGAGCTGGCGACCGGTGTCGTCGATCACGACTTGTGCTTCGGTTCCGATTCCGACTCTCAAGCGATGTGCGGCGTTCCTTCGATCTAGACTGTCTGCTAAAAATGGGGGGAAAAGTTGGTTTTGTTCATTGAATTTGGTTTGAATAGTGTTGAAAGATTCCAACGAATCGTTGATAACTTTCTATTGCTATTAAAAATTGATGTTCACAAAACTGATGTACTGAAAGTAAAAGCAGTTAAGCAAATAGTCAAATTACCTTGAACTCATATCTGGACCGGCTTCTTCTTGACGATCAGTCTTTGTCCTTTTCCCTGTCTCTGTCTCCGTCTCTATCCCTTTCTCGTTCCTTCGATCTCTCCCGAGTCTTGGTCGTTCTCTCTTCTCACTTTTCTCCAGTTCAATCTCACTCATTTTGTTTTGTATTCTATTGGGCATGGCCAAACCTGGGATTTTCGAGGCCAATCGATGGGCATCAGGCTCCGATATGAAATCATTTTCACTAGACTCAGGTAGTTTCTTCGATGATTTCATCGATTGAGTAATTTGCAGCAAGCTCGTGATGCAGGAATCGGGAAATTCGAATCCATTTTCGATGAGAGCTTTCTTAAATGTATCGAATGTGGTGTGCATCTCAGCCAAACCGGTGACAATCTCTTCCTTTTTTTTTTATATAATTATCATATTCGGTGCAAATGTTTTCCACCTCCGGCGAATGCTGTAATTTCGACAGTTCCTCCATTGTGCACGTTTCAATTCGTTCTATTCAAATTCAGCAAATTATTTTTAATTGGGATCAAATTTTTCAAAATATTTACACTCGTTCGAGTCGTAGCGTTGAATTGATGTGCATTGTGTATAAGTTTGACAGCTGGCGCTTTTTTTTATTTGACATTCAAAAAAAGTAAAAGTGGATGCGTTCAATGCTTTCAACGTATAGTTCACAGTTGAATTGGAAAATCGGACGGCAAAACAAAGACAATTTGTAGATATTTCAAGTCAAATGCATTGAAAATAACAAAATATAATAAAGAAATGAAGAAGTCTTTTGATTTTGGTTCAATTTCCCGTCACAGTGCGAAGTTTGAATATTTCTCCGATACCGACGACATTGAATGTCTCCATCACCTATTTGTTTCATTCGTTTTGACAGAAATCATACCAGTTGCGATACTAAAACAACAGTCATTCAAAATCGGTCATGGTATCTAAACATTGAAACACATAGTCAAAGCAATTAATCGGTCGCGGTCTTGACACCCCTTTGCAAGAAGAAAAAATAAACTCATCTCTCATTCACGGCCAAAGTGTCCACTGTGTATTAACAGCTGTTTGGATTTATAGTGAGTGAATATTATCTCTCTCAGTTCATCGAAATCATTCAGTGTTCATATTCATAACTCAATTCATGGTGTGTTTTTTTTTTAATCCAACCGAACTTTGGAGTGTAAAAGAACGGAAGAAAGAAATGAAAATCAGCATAATTTTTCGATCAGACACATTCGAGGCGTGAAATTATCATAAAATACATTAATACTTGTTCCGTGATCGTGTTAAAATATCGCACTCGACTCAAATGAAAAAGAAAACCCATTGCATTTTATGATTAATTCATGAAATTCAACACTATCACAGTGAAATATCGCGTAGCCGTGAATTGTTTTGATCAAGAACCAGAATACAAGACAGAAACGCAGCAATACACATAAAGCGTGAGAAAGAGACAGTCAATCAAGTGAAACCGACAACGCGTGCATTCGCGTGTTGCATGTAAAGACACTCCGTTTGTATAGCAAGTAAACAACACGTTGCCTGTGTATTTCTGTGAAATTAACGTTCTTAATTGTTTTCGTTAATTTCACGTTGCATTCCAATTAGGGTTCTTAATCAATAGAATTTTATATCGTGCTCACCGTTTTGGAATACTTGAAATGATTGCAATGAAACCACATTCAATTCGGTCTGAACAATTTCAAGTTCGTCAAACAGAGTGCACGTTTTTACAAACTTCGAACACATCAATGTTGGTTTATCGCATGATAATCGGCTGATTCAAAGACGAAAATCAATTAATTTCATCGAAGAGACACCGCGCGTTCAGTTGTTGTTGTTGTCGCTGTGTTGGTCATAGACTCAGTAAATATAGCTTTATAAATCGACGTGTCGCGCGTAAATTTTTGTTCCTTTTCTATGTGTCTCGGCTTCTTCTTTGCTGCGGTTAAACCTTCAAATTTTTAACGTCAACAAACGATTACGTTTTGTCGAATGTTTGTGGCTATTTTTTCAAGCGCTATGTCATCGTCGTATATACGCTGGTTGCATTGACGTACCCAAAAATATAACATTCAGTCCAAGCAACCGAAAAATGTATTTGCTTTCTTTGAACAAGTCCCGTCTTGCGAGAGAGATAGAGACACACAGAGAGAGAGAGAGAATAATCTGTCATGGGCTTCACTCTCAGGCCCTGTCATATGCTTCTCGCTATCTCACTCTCGCTACTTCGTGTTAATGGTTGTAAAATAGATAATTTCCGCCTTTGTAATTCTTCGATATGTTGAATATCTTTGGGGCCTCGTTCCATGCACGCGTATGCGTGCAATATGAACAATACTTTTAATGGAACTTGCGCACAACGCACTCTCTCTGTTTCGTTTCCATATCTCTTTCTCACATGATATTTGTTTATATATTACAAATTTTTTTATTGTATCCATATCATTATTATCTAACATATTTTTTTTCTTTCATTCCGGAATATCGACTTAGGTGCAGCAAAAGCAGCGAAGTGAATGTCATCGATACTGAAAATTCGTTCACCGGTGCAAATGAGTGTGTTGCACTGAAAATAAATCGAAAGTGAATTATGAAATGTGAAGTGCATTTAATGTGAATTTCTTTTGATTGTATATGTGTATGTTGGTGTATATACGCGGTTAGGTTGTGTTATGGAAGAAAAGCTCATCATCAGCTAAGCAGTAGCACACAGAAAATACTGAATTCCCGATTGAGTGTGTGCCATACGAAACGACGTCGCTCGTGTTCCAATGTGTACGTGATCCAAAAAGATAGCGATAAAGAAATATATATATATATCGACAGCAAGTCATATGAAAAACACTTCCCAGAGTCTACATATATCTCGAATGGAAAAGTTTGTATTAGACAGAGCGCGAGAAAGAACGAGGGGAAAGACTGTGCGCACATAGTGGATATCGAACTCATTTTTCTCGCGCTCAGCTACTAAACCGTTTGTTATAATTCGGGTGTTCTATTCCCCAGGTTGTGTGTATACAAACAACATTGTGTGTGTTTTCTTTATTTTTGCATCGCAGCAATCTTTTGTAATGTTTATGCGAGCACCGCGCCAGATATTCTCTCTTTCTCATCCATTAGATTGGTGACGACATAATTGAATTATTTCCATGCAAATTTTGTCACTTTTCACACAGAAAAAAACGAATACATCACAGTATCGAGCAATAGTCTAGAGGTCGAACGACGCACATCTATCGCACATCATAAACAAATCTCAACACAAAACAAACTCTCGCGGAAAACGACTGAATTGCAATAATAATTTCTTCTCTGCTGTATTCCTGTGTATAATGCATACATAATTGCACACGGGAACGTGAACTGTACTGTGTGGTCGCGCTGCTCTGCTTTACAAACGAAACAAAAGAAATATGATTTGCTAGGAAGCGAAATTGTGGATTTTTTTTTTGCACGCTCGCTTGCGCTCGCTTTGTCGCACACCAACTAACTTGAGTATTCTATAATATGAGTGTATGCGTATAAGGTACGATACATGTACATTATTTGCTTAGCAAAATTATCAATGTGTTTGCCATTCACAACAACAACAGAGAAGAGACGAAACGAAGAATGAAAACAACAACAGCATAGAATAGCCATTGAATCGAAGTGAAAATCGACGTATTCTTTCTCTCTAATTGAATTACACACCGATCGAAAATCAATCAACTACATAATACAAACAAATTGTCAGCACTGAACTGCAACTCTGCATACGGAGACTGGAAGCCAGCAAGCATATAGGCCGCGCGCACGAAATAAAACGAGAGCGAATAAGAGAGAATTGCTCTTGCAGAGCGAATAGTTGTTTTTTTTATGGTTGTTTCCCGTCATTGACATTACACTCTGATGAAGTGAGTGCATTTTGTGATATAAATTAGAACCATTAAGTGATTTTGTGTTTGTGTGTGCTTTTTTTCGCGTGTGCTGAGGCCAAGAAACAAACAACGTTTAACGCACCCACGACATCAAATTAGTATAAAAGTTTCGTCCGCATAGGACCGAGAACATCCATATATCCGATTCATTAAATTCAATTAATTTGTACTAATTAACACCATTCAAGTGGCAAGGATATCTACAAATCAATACAGTAAAACAAAACAACAAACAATAAACATTTCATTTACGAACGATAACATTTCGCTTTTTAAACTATTGTACTCAGAGCTAGGTGATATTTGGTCTTTTGTTCAATTGATTTTTTCTTTGGCTTAAAATCAAGTAGCCAAGATTTGGAGGCGAGAAAGAAAAATTAGAATTTTGTGAGTGACAAACAGTTGCAGTGCACGAGAGAGATATTCAATATCAACATGGCTGATTTAAGACGTAGAAAACCCGATGACGATAGTGGAAAACAGGTTGATGACGATAATTTTAGTGCATCCAAAGCGGGCGGTGATGCAGCCAATGGCAGCGATGATGAACAACCGCATCATAAAAAACCAAGTGGTTTAACTACAGCTGACTCCTCTGATCATGTAAATATAAACAGAAGTTTTTTTTTTGTTTTTCTAACTTTTCCTTGTATTGGTTTGTTTGGGCGATGCGGGGGCATTTCCAAGTCGTACGTCATTTCGTGTTTGAAAAAAGCATTATTGAAGAAAGCCAATGGCATTTCTATTTTAATTTTCGGAGTGACATTGTCACATTCAATGGAGCTATGTTCATTGTACTAGAAACGCTACTGCAGCATTCAATATGATGCATTATGTCTATTTTCGGGCCGTTGAATACGTGATACTCTTCTTTATTTATGATTTTTTTTTCTTCTTCTCGCTGATCTTTTGACACACAGAACACGATAGAAAACATACGGAATGACGGTCAACGGTGTTTACATTTTTTTTTTTCAATTCCCTCTCTTTCTGCATCTTTGCTCTCAATGAACAACAACATATAGACTGATTACTGGCAATTATTTTTGACATTCATTGTTCTCATGGTTTCAAAGACCTCGATATTTTGTTTTTCTTCGCTTTTCGACATTTGTGAACCAAGTAAAACCACCAAACCACTCCAAACAAGGGGATTAGTATCGTAAATATGATTTAAACGAGGGATTCCACACATAATATACTGTGAGCTGATTCATCTAAGATTATAAATAAATCATTGTGAGGTGATTGATAGAGGCGATGAGTGATTTAAACTTGGAGTCCTAGTGACCGGATTATTCATTTATCTACACACAGCATCAATTTTTGCCAATTGACAGTGCTTGACGACATTGTCGCTGTATACTATGTTATTCATTGTTTTTCGGACAAATGTGATTAGCTTTTATTGGACTGGATTGAGTGCACTAAATCAATTTAGTCATTTTAAGGGACAATAGTTGAGATGCACACATGCTCTGTTCATTGTCTGAATTTACTCAACAATTGAGTTGAATTTCAAAGAAAGAATCGATTGATTATGAAAACGCATTGTCATTAATATCATTTAGATTTCATTAGTTGTTGTAAAACAAGCCAATTGAAAGGGGCTTTGAAGAAACTACACATGTTCTTACTTATAATCATGTACGGTGTACGTTGTGTACAAACCTCTTACATTTCGTACAAAAAGTCAGCAAACAAATCATTCCATTGCAAAACGCCATTTCAGTCTGACCCACAAATTATTTTAACCGCAGCGCTTACTTTGTATATTGTTTTGTACACTTCTACGTTGTAGTATTTGCGGCCGAAAAGTTTTTTTCCTCTGATTTTTCGTTGAAAACAAAAAAACAAAATGTGAATCCAAAATTGCGTCATTTTGAATGCAACTGCTGTTGACCGCATTTCATGTTGATTTCATTCGGCCGTGATTCATTGTATCTTTCGATTCCGATGGCACCACATACGCCTAATAATCTAATACACGTCGCATAATCGAAACTGATTAGCCATGGACAGCTGAGTCAAGAACAGCTGAAACAAAAAAATGCGACACAATCGAACACGGCTTTTTTTATCGCAATTTTCATTCGACAAAAAATAGTCACTTTCATTTTAAAAATAGATTCATGTCTAAATGCAATGTTATATTGTAGGATTATTCTGGATTTTGACATTGATGGGGTTTTTGTTGTTGTCGTCGTCGTCGTTGTCGAGTTGCTCGGCGAATGTCTAAACATCATTTGATATCACAATTAATTTCACAACTTGAATGTGTGAGCTCACATCGTTCAGTCATTTGTGGGGCTTCATTGTAACACACAAAAATGCAGTTGATGACAAGCAAATGTGCCTGACTCGGTTCAATGCGAATGCCACACATCGAACGAAAAAAATAATACTGTTTTTGTATCGATAGCAACAAGGGACAAGAAAAAATTGGCAAACAAATTCCCGTATTCACTATGGAAATCTATATTTACATCGAATTTTTCAGACTCATGAGTCAATAAATGTGAACGCGATATCACAAATAAATATCTCCTTCGTTTATTTACGTTTATGACTCATGTTGAAAAAATGAAATATTTCAGGTGGATATAATTACTGCGGTTGCTGAGGTAGTGATTATCGATTGACGGTAAATCTCTTCTCCGCAGCAGTTTAAATTCAAGAGAAGAAAAAAAAGCTTGATGGTGTAACGGCTCGAAAAAAAATAGCCGCAGTTAGAATGTTTCTATTTAATAGGATCAAAGTTTAAGTTACGCCGCGCCGTGCATTTCACACAATTTGTTACATCGGTTCCTGGTGGCGTCATGTGAATAATTTGCCATTGTTTATAGCTCATTATCTGTTGCCGTGTGCAATATAAATCAACGAGAATTTTTAAATTGCCAATTTCAAACCGAAAATATAACGATCTCTCTCCCTCTTTCAACCGCCTCGTTCTATTGCGAGCGTAAATACTTTGTAGCTATTTTTGGCGATTCCAGAAATAGATATTTAGGCATGACTGACTTTTTTTTCCATTTACTCGGTTTCAGGTTGACTCGGAGGAAGAACGACTGCCCGACGAGAAATATGTAAAAGATTTGGCCAAAAAACTGCCACAGGGAACGGACAAAACGCCCGAAGTACTGGAAGAAGCGTTGAAGGGTCTACCAGACAAGTGAGTTAGATGGTTTTGCTTTTTAAGACTCTTGTGTTGAGATAGAAGTGAAGAAGTATCCTTCAACATTCAATTCCCAATGAAACAATTGTATGGCTATTTTCAGATGGAAGAATTACATCATTCGTGGAATATTCACGTTTATCATGATAATGGGATTCTGTCTAATCATCTACGGTGGTCCCTTGGCACTAATGATAACGGTAATTCATTCTACTCATAAATTTTTCGACACACAATTGTGAACAACTCGCTATGGGACAAGCATATTTATCGTATCCATTTCAATTATTTTCAGACACTTCTGGTGCAAGTAAAATGCTTCGAAGAGATCATTTCGATTGGATACCAAGTGTATCGCATCCATGGTTTGCCATGGTTCCGAAGCCTTTCATGGTATTTCCTGCTCACGTCCAATTACTTTTTCTACGGGGAAAATCTAGTGGATTACTATAGTGTGGTGGTGAATCGTGTTGATACACTACGATTTCTGGTCACCTATCATCGATTCCTTTCGTTCACTCTGTACTGCATTGGTTTCGTTTGGTTTGTGTTGTCGCTAGTCAAAAAATACTATATGAAACAATTCAGTTTGTTTGCATGGACTCATGTCGCCCTGTTGATTGTCGTGACACAGAGCTATTTAATAATCCAGAACATATTTGAAGGTAATAATAACACGAAACAACAACAAAAACATAGCAATAAAGCATGTACTAACTGAACACCCCGCAATCAATTGAATATTTCGTCGGTGTTGTCTAGGTTTGATTTGGTTCATTGTACCGGTGTCGATGATTGTGTGCAACGATGTGATGGCATATTTGTTTGGATTTTTCTTCGGTCGTACGCCATTGATTAAGCTCAGCCCGAAGAAAACGTGGGAAGGATTCATTGGCGGTGGTTTTGCTACTGTCATATTTGGTGTCGTTTTCTCGTATCTCCTGTGTCAATATCAATTTTTCATATGCCCAATTGAATACAATGAGGCGGCCGGCCGCATGGGCATGGAATGTGAACCAAGCTACTTATTCAGACCACAAGAGTACTCGTTGTCAATGGTACGTATGACACAACATTTCATGACATTATTGGAAATTTTTCTTTATTAATTATTTTCATCTTTCAGTTCAAAATCAACAAAACACTTACCATCTATCCATTCCTATTGCACTCATTGTCCATGAGCGTATTCAGTTCAGTGATTGGACCATTCGGTGGCTTCTTTGCTTCCGGATTCAAACGAGCTTTCAAGATCAAAGTATGGAATTTTATTCGATTTAATTCGTTTTCAAGAATTCAAAATTAGTTCAATTTCACAATTTTGATATGAAACGGTTTTAATTCTGTTTTTTAGGATTTTGGTGATATGATTCCAGGCCATGGTGGTATTATGGATCGATTCGACTGTCAATTTTTGATGGCAACATTTGTGAACGTTTACATTTCCAGCTTTATACGCACCGCTTCACCAGCAAAACTTCTGCAACAGGTACGATAGCGCGACAGTCATTTGAATTGATTTGATTCGATTCGATTCGTATAAAATAAAAATGGATAAAATGTCTAGTTAAAAGAAAAAAAACGAATCAAAAAAGTGTTTGTGTTAATATATAAATAATAATATATTTCCGATCATTTCATGCTTCCAGATCTACAATTTGAAGCCGGAACAACAGCTTCAGCTCTACAATTCACTTCGTGACTCTCTTCAAAATCGAAGCATCTTAGATTAAATTAAATTGTAAACACTCAAAGTACCTAAGCTCTAACCCTAAAAAGCAGTCAACCAGAAATGAATGGGCAAGCGGAATAATGAAACGTAATTCTGTTTTTAAATGAAGTGCCTCTGAGAAAAATTTTCAGTAAAAAAGCCCCACAAAAATATTGTCTGAATAAGATTTTCATACAAATTTTTATCAGACAATATTTTTGTGGGGCTTTTTTACTGAAAAATTTTCTCAGAGGCACTTCATTTAAAAACAGAATTACGTTTCATTATTCCGCTTGCCCATTCAAATGTGGATTGAGTTCATGGCCAGAATTGGTTGACTATCGATGTCTTAGCATGAAATTAGAAGTTTAATGATGAATTTCTAAAAGACTCATAAATTCATATTCACCATCTCCCTGTGGTGTTCTTCTCCTTCTTCAGTTAATTGTTTTCATTTAATGAAATGGACAAAAAAAAAAATGCGTAACATAAATGTTCTTTACAGCAAGAATCCCAGTAGATAATGAAAATGGATGTTAGTTTTACTCCTCCCCCAAGGTTATCATTATAAATGTTATGAGTATGTTCCATTTTGATGTTCAGACTGTGTCAAACCGAACAAAACAACAACAACAACAAAAAGAGAAGAAAAAACAAAAACCATAAAACATTAACTCATAGCACGTGAACAAGAACATATTTTGAGACATACAATCCAAATATCAATCAAATGGAGAAGAAAAACAACAATCAATTGAAACATTCAGAGTAAATCTGAATAGACATTTGAATGAACTAAACAAAATACACACACACATACCTATTTCTAGTCATATGCAAACCGAACTAATGTTAAATCTCTACTATTTATTAAATGGAAATAATTGAGAAAGCATATTTATATTTAGCAAAACAATATGTATTTAATATTAGAAGAAAAAAACAAACAAAGAAAACTTAATTAAACTCAAGAAACATCTGAAAATATTGTGTAACGGCTAAGATGTGTTAATCAAAAGAAATGCAGGACAAAAAAACATGAAAATACGCCGAATTGCAATCCAAATGAATGTTTATTCGAAAACACATGATACATGATACATGAAGTTTAAATGATTAAATGCGACGAAAAAGAACCCAAATAAATGTGCAACTGCAACCGTTATCATCGTCAAACAATCATTTGTCACGCGCTATCTGCAGCAAATGGATTGATTAATTGATGTAATTATCATTTGAATATTCGTGTGTGGGTATCGAATTAAATGTCTGGCACTGGAGTTGTGTGTACGCGCGGTAAAATGTTTGTGAGCTTTGAAAATTAGCATATATTTGCATACGATAATCGTTGTGAAATATCCAAAATAAATAGCAAACAAATCTCCCGTTTCGACCTCATGAAAAGCGAACAAAACACAACAAAACTTTTGCCGTATTTCGTGCATTTAACGGGATTCCAGTGATTCAAACAAACAAAAAATACTGCAGAACAAACGTGTAAATTTCCGCCAAAAAAGAGAAATCGTTGCAAAAATGTGTTGTTTGCCAACAATGTGGGAACGTTGTTTTTTTATACGAACTTATTTTCTATCCAACTATGTATTTAATACAACAAGAACTATTCGACTGATGCACGCCGATGCCAAATTAGAAATTCTTATGGCAAAACAAAAACCAAAACAACCAAATAATCTAAATTCGAAAATCCCGACGAAAAACAAAAACACACACACATATTGTTAATTTGTATCGCTCCATCAGATTTTACATTCAGATTTTCCAATGGACAAAAATTGCCAATCACCAATTGAAATGATGTCCTTTTTTTGCTGGTTTCATTTTAAGTATACATTTAAGTTTTCAAAAATTTAATATATATATTTTTTAGCATTAATTAACCAAAAAAGGAAATTAAAATAAACGAACACGTGAGGAACAAATAAACACACACTCACACACACAGTCGGTTACCGCTAGTTAAAGAAACAACTTTCAAGTTATGTTGAAAATTATAAACGTGTTTTGAATTTGGAACAAATGTGTAGCTAATCAGTTTTATTGGTAGGAATAATTTGTTTATTTTTTTGTGTGTGTTAATTGGATGTAAAGAAACATGTCATTGAGCGGCTGAAAGAAGTGGTCGATTGAATAAGACGAACAAGAGAGAATTCTCTCTTCAAGAAACAAAGTACGTAAATGTAGTGAGTCCCCGCTATTGAGGGCGGTAAATGTGTACATCATCAAGATCATTGATTCTCAATACTTAAACATCAATGGTAGTCTTCGATTGCCACACATACACATACGGACATCATTCAATTAGTTCATTCCAATGGTGTGGAGATCTTTGAAAAAGATCACTCTCACCGCCTATATAACTACAGTCAGAATAAGATGGAAAACAACTATAAATGGTTTTTTTTTAGGTTTTGTTTTTCGCTTCTTTGGTTAGATTTAATTTTGTGTAAGCTTTATTTAAAACATTAAGCAAAATATTTAAGCGCGTCAACAAATATTTTGTGCAATTTAATAAATTTTTATTTCGTTATACAGATTTAAATTCGCATCTTTCTTTCATTGATCTCTTATTACTTGAGTTGATTTATTCGAATTGAATAATTTTTTCCTCTTTTTTCATTGTGCGAAGCATAATCAAAAATTTTGCTAGCGAATTTTTGATTTTAAATGTTATTTTCTTGACATTTTGTCTTTATATTAAATATTATTTAGCGATTTCATTGTTTTACAGAAGAGATTTATCTTGAAGTGTCATTCAAGAGGTTGATTTCATTTGAAATCAGTATAAATAATTATTCCGCCGCATAACAATATTGGACAATGTAACCAATGAATCCAGGTTCGATGCGGTTGACCCGGAGTGCAACTTTCAATAAATCTTTCGAACAAAATCTACTTCAGTCTAATCCACATCACTTCAGCTACTTCATTGAATTCCTTTCGTAGAGAATGTTCATTTATTTAACAAACGATAAATCTTTATACTTTATAAAAAAAATTCGGCTACTCTAAGAGGAACACATACGATATTAATCAAAATTACTTGAATTATTTGCCATAAATTATTATCATTCTACGTTACGCATTGTAAATTTAACACACAACATATTTTGAACATTCAAAAATAAAACAAATGATTAAATGTCATGTGAACCAACAATTTGATGCCCCTATTTATGAATACAAACCAATAAATATTCAATACAATTGTATTAGATTTGATGACCCACAATAAAAACAAAACAAAACAAATCACAAGTTTCAATACAGCGATTTCATTCCTTTGCTTTTTTTTTCTCTTCATCGATCAATCCAATTGAAGTAGGTAAGAATTGAATTTCAAGCAGATGTTGGTGATCTATTCTTCAATGAAAGGTAAGTTTTTTGTAAAAGTCACTTGGCTGCGTTTAGAGCCAATAAAAAAGTGGTCATTAGTTGCCAATTCCAGAAATGCTCATCATTCAGAGATTTAGTTGCAAAAAAACGAACAAAACAATCGACACCCAAGTTTATAAAAACTCAACATATTTTATTGACTTAAATCAACAAACAAGTTTCGGTTGTCGTCTAGTTCCATAGAATTGATTCCATGGCAATTTCTAATACAATAGCACAAATTCGAGAAAAAAAAACTTCATTTCTTGACGTATCGCAAGTATTTTCTGGCGCTGAAGTTATCCTCCAAATCTTCTTCAACTTTCATAACGATTTGTGGTTTACGACTTTCCAATCGTCTCTTTCGTTCTTCCTCCGTCAATGTAGTCAAATCAAGCGGTAGCTGTGAGCAAAAAAAGAGGACATTTATATTAAAAAAAATGAACCAGAAAAATAGCACAAACTCAATGAGAAGGCTGAACACTTACCTGAATAATCTGGCGTGGTTCATGATATCGAATTGTAATCGTTGAGCCGTCCGGTTGAACGAGAGTCGTTGGATAAACTCGACAATATAGCAAGCGATGTGTTTTTGTTATACCCGCCGTTGCTGACGATACACCACGAATTTGCTGGAATTTACATGGTAAATTCGCTATATTCAATAACTTCCGCATACTCTACCAACTATTTTGATTTATTCATAAAATCGATGAGAATTTATGTAATTTCTATCCTAAAAAAAGTGCTCGATTCGAAATGACAACAACCGAGGCCTGTGCAAAAATGACAGAAAAACACCATACATGCTGCATCTGACAGCTTTGGCAGCACCGATTGAAATATTGAATTGCCATATTGTACAAATGAGTGTTGCCATATGTTTCAATGTACGGAGCGAAAAATAAACAAATTTTAATTGATTTAAATTTTTTGTATGGATTATTTTATTTCATTTGAAAAAATATTGTAAAGACATCGGAACATATTTGATTATTCTTTGTTTTAACATAAAAATTCGAGGTTAAGATACATTTCCGGATGCGTCGTACCTCAACTGGCATTTGGTGTAGTAGCTGTTTAACGATGTTTATTTCTCGAATTTGTGTTGGGAATTGGAGAATTTTTGATAGGTTAAATAGGAATGATCGGTTAATCGATTCGGTAGGCCACGCATCGATGTCATCAAATTGCAAAAGAGTGGTTCGTAATGACTCAAATCTCTAACTGTCGAAGCGCCGACTTCAAAATGGAACGAAATGCTTTTCAAACTGGCAATTCCATTGGAATACGTAATACAGTTGTCGTTTGACTGTATAATGTTATCACTACATAGAAAAATGTTCAATTCGTGAAGTTGATTATTTCCGTGCCAAAATCTGAAGGGTACTTTCGAGATCATGGGCGGTAATTGATCGTTTTGTCAAAATTGCACGGGCCAAATATTCAAACTGATCGAGAAAGTCGTAAAAGTGTGGATCATCACTGCGATTTCTACAATAGTCACCGTAGGTTTGGAGTTTTGGGCAATATTTGACGAGTGTCTCTCCAATTTCTGGACAGCTGTTATTACAATGCCAAATAAACGTCTCCAGATGGGGTAGTTTCCCAATGAATTTAGCTAATTCCACTCCACCGACCGAATGGTTGTAGACAACCAACTCTGTTAAATTGAGATTGAGAACTGTGACTAAATTCACTTCAACCAATTCTTATCGTCTTGACCCTGAATTTTGAGACTTTTCAATAGACCTGAATTGGGAAAAATTTCGTAAAATACAGACATTACACCGTTGTAACTTCCATCAATATCAATCATAGCACTTCGTATATTGCTAAAGTATGGAATGGCTTGCTGAATCAGATTACGGTCCACCAGCTCTGTTACTTGATCATAGCCTTCTGTTGGTTGTTTTACGTATTACAATTCGGTCAGAGTGTTGGGTGCACTGTATTGAATTATTGTTTGCAACTTGTGATTGAGACAATCGGATTGCATCGGAATCTTCAATCGCTTTATGAATGGACCAAATTTTTCAAATGTTTTCCACATCGTCCACTCTCATGTTTTGTAGCGTCGTGACCAGAGTTTGATTAGTCTTTTACCAATTACATGTTCTCTGATTAGAGTGATGAAAAATTGGTCATCGTTGGTGTCGAGATCACAAATTCGCATCAAATCGAACACATGCAAGTATTCAAACAGCAGATAATGGCTCAACGACTTTTGTGAGCCATTGTACTTGAGCATCGGTATTGTGCTATGGTCACTCATTTGTATATGTCCTATAAAAAGTGAAAATTTGTATTAAACCTCAAGATAACGCTTGCATTACATTAACGACTAATAATTCACATCTTCTTCTTCTTGTGAAATTCCTTTTTATTCCCTCTAACGCAATGTAACTTTTAGTTTTCCTAACGTGAAATAACTTTTAGGACGGTTTAAAGTTATTACACGTTTGAAAAAATGTAGAATTTATATTGGTTTTTATGGAATAAAAACGAATTTTGCAATGATAAGGAGAAGAAGATCCGACTTCTTGCATTCACTGTATTACATTCATTTTGTTGGGAACAATGAAAACAATTGTGGAAAATTTGATTAATTCATTAAAAATATCGAATGTACTTACCGGAACCAATCGATTGGAAACGCTATAGTTTATGGCCGTGTGATTGTGTAGTAACTAATAAAACCAAACCAAACCAAAGCGATGCAATTAATAAATTCCAAAGTCGAACAATCGGATTTCAAATGGCACGATGATGCATTCAATTGACACAGATAGATTGATATCATGCAGTCAAGTGTTTCCATCTGATTCCGTGTCGAAGCGAAAAATGAACTCATTCGTGACGTCAGAGCATATTTGATTTTTCTTTGTTTTACTATAAGAAATCATTGTGAGGTCAATGAAGATTCAATCCCCTTTTTTTCAGTAGATGAATCCATTTTTATGAACAATATTTTGATTTTGGTTTAATGGTTTTGTACACAAGCCAAAGAAATTGAGAACAGAAAGAAATCCAAGACATCATTTTCCCATTTTTTATCTATTTTTTCTTCCTAATTTTGTTAAATAAAATGGTTTATTCATAAAGTCGTTCGTACACAGCTCATTTCGCGCTTTAATTCTACTGCAATGGATTTTATTCCGTTTTTTTATGCGTCGATAAATATTTCATTAAATCGTTGAGTCCTTCAAACTCCGTTCGACTAGTTTGAGTATCTTTGCTAATTTTTGGCAGTACTGAACCCATTTTGTGCCGGAATTCATCCATCTGTAAATGTGATTGATACAAACATGAGTATTAGGATACGAAATCGATTGTCAACATTTTAGAATTATGTTCGGTTGTTACATTTTTTGCTCCTGACAATTTCCAAATGCCATAGAAAAATGTGCCAGTGCCAAGCACCGCATAAAATGTACCCCATGCCAGAGCTCTCGTTGCTAATCTTGTGCCAGATTCGATTAGGTTCACTGTTTCGACCGTTGCTTGTTCATACAGTTGTTGGTCTTGTTTTCGTGCAGTTGCTATAGTTCGACTAAATCCCACAAATGCTGCCATACCCGATACAGTCGCCAAAAATGCCGCAGCTGTTCCCAAAATCCACAATCAAATCAGAGGATTTTCAATCATACATTCAACATTCGCTAAACACCTTTATTCAATATTTTTGGCTTTGGTGTTTACGAATTTTCGCATTGGAATTTGTCACATACCTCTCATACGATATTTTTGTTTCTCCTGATCGCTGGGCTGAAATTTCTTCTCTGTTTCACCAATTGCTTCCATTATTTCGAATCTATTTCACACATTCTATATTTACTTATCTATTTTGAATTTCATTGTTTTTTCTTTTGATTTCAGATTTTTGTTTTGCACATGCCGAATTACTATCAGGTACTTTTGACACCAACTGTCACTCGCCGATCATAGGCACATGTACTAAAATACTCAATACATTCGTTCGAACATTAGCACTATGGTTCACGTCTAATTCAAACTTCCACATCTATTGATGGTAGATGGCGTTGCAAGCAGCAAGTGATTTTTCAACTCGTATAAGTAAAGGAAATTTAGTTTTTTTTCTGCTTATAACAAACTAAGAATGAAAATTTGAAAGAAAATTTAAAAAAAAATAGAAAATTGTCGATTTGAAATAGATTGTTCGGCTTATGAAGAGCAACTTTTATCTAAAGGCAATAAACAACTCTTGAAGAGTAGCGCTTTTTAAAGAATATATTTTTAATTTTGAGGCATCGTAATGTAAAATAGCTTTCGATATGCACTAATCACCGTTAATTGTTTGTTAGTTGATTCGGCGGATGTGGAAGATTCAATAGAGTTTCGTTAGGAAATTATTTGCTTTCAGTGATTAGTTTGTGTGGAAAAAAATTCATATAAACACAGAACACAAATGAAAAGATATCTATAAACAAAATGCATCCAAAAGATGTTTAGGTGTTATTTGCTTAAGGAAATGTGAAAATATTCAATTAAACAAAGTCAAGTGCCTTTCTTTAAATTTCGAACAACAATTGAATTGAATACATTTTTCATCAATTTCATGAGGTGAAGACCACCCTTCTTCAAATAATTAATAGAAACTGAAACATAATATTCATGCAAGAAAATCCATATAGCAATATTCAATCGACAATAAAGCGTAATGTGTGAAACGTATTGAACTAGAAGTGCAAATGAAATGTTGAAAAGCACATGTCGTATGGAAAATATTTGAAATTTTTGGAATGAACCGCATCGAATGTGCAACGTGATATGCATTGAACATACAATGACGCAAAAGAGTTCTATATTTGCATTTCATCTACTTTGTTCTGCTCCAATGAACAGCAAAAAAGAGCAAAAAAGGAAATACTACTATGAAACTTTCAATCGATAGAAAGTTTTGTACGAGTTTTCTAAAAAGAATATGTGCGCTTTTTTCATCGCGTTTTAGCAAAGAAACGATTTTCTTTGCTGAAACACTAGGGTATAAGATGTATTTTTGGGATAATTTGAAAAAATATCAACAATGAAGGCGCAATCATTATCAAACAACATGGCAAAAAAACCATATCAAAAATACGCCTTTTAATTACCTACGAATAAAAAGCGTGTTCATCATTCAACGTGAATGTGTTGAAATCAATGTTTGTCGCACCATTTCCGAATCAGAACCGGAATCAGTGTTGTGCGATTTGATGTCGTTTGCAAAGAAAATGTCGAAAGTGCTTCGATCCTTTATCACTTGTGATGCGACTTGAGAGACCATGGCAAATGACAATAATGAAAATCACTTTGATTTGATTAAATGTATCCGCAGTGTTTGGCAGAAAAGACGGTTGCTACACTCGATATCAATTCGGGGTAGCTGAGTGAAACGATAACCAAGGAAGAAGAAGAAGACGATGAAGACGAAATCGAAAAAAAGGCAGCGAATTCAAAGATTGTTTATCATCATGATGATGTGATGTGAGGCGGTTGTTGTTGGCGGCGATGGTGGTGTTCATGTAAACGCATAATCTTCTGGCATTTCGTTGGATGTTCCTTAGACAACAAATAAAAACCACTTCATGCTAATACAATGAAGCGATTCATACCTTGGAATGGCAAAAGAAAACTTTGTATTCACTGTATACCTACAATGGATCGGTGTGTTTGTGTCTTTTTGTGATGAATGAATTGGTTGTTTTAAGTGTTTTATGCGGGCGTTCCATTTTCTTACACCAATTTTCCAATGCAATTTGGTTCATTCGGTGTGCGCATTTTGACGATTCATTTTCGCATCTATCATTGTTTATTGCTCTACATCCAACATCCATTTACATTTCACAATTCACATGCACCGAAATTCATGCAATGATAATAATCCAACGCACCTCTCTCGCATTCAGTTCACCCCCTTCTACCATAGTTTATTGCTCATTTTCTCTGTGTGTACAAAAGCAACCTACAAAAAAGTAGATAATTGTAACTTGCACCACGAAATCAAAGGGCTTTTCCCTTTTTGTTCTACAAAGTTCAAACATAAAGGATTGACGACAACAGGATGATGGCAGCGGCAACGGCGAGGAAGACGACGACGACGACGACGTCGACTCATCGTTTGGTGTGCCCTTTTTAAAGTGGAGCGCTAATAATTTGAAACGCTAACATAATCAAAGGGAAAAAGACAAAATGAACAACAGCAACAACGGCAGCCGTTTCTGAAGAAGATGATGGAAACAAGTTACAAAGAGAGAGAGAGAGAGAGAGAGAGAGAGAGAGAGCGAGCGTTTAACATCAAAGCTGGAATTTTGTATTGTCATACACAAAATTTATGTGTACGTTTTTTGTTGTTGCTGCTGCTTTACTTTATTTTAGCTCTTTCTCTGTAGTATGGCTGCGTGTGTGAGACAAAGTCGCGCGTTTGTTCTTTGATTTTTGTAGAGCAGAGCATTTTCGGTACATATTCGAACTACCCGATGACGACGACGATACAAAAGAAGAACCAAACACAAGAACGACAACGAGATCTAAAAGGCAGCAATCCACAGCAAAGACAAAGAGGATGGCAAAAAGAAACATACAGCAAGATGAAAACAACACAGAGAATGAGCGAAAGAAGAAAAAAAAATGACGAACATCGAAAAATGTGAGAAATTATCCGTGAGTGTTATGACATTGTCGATGAAAAGGTAAAAGTTTTTGGCTTTAGTTAAACGTTTAAGGATGCTTTGACTGATTTGTACACACAAAAGAAACAACAACACAAAGTTTTGTGAAAATATGAACCGAAGAAACAGCACATGAAAAAAAAACATTCTATACACAATACAGTAGCCAATCGCATGCAAGAACACCAAATGCAATGGGGCCAAAAGAAGTACGAAAAAAAACTCACACACACACACACACACATAGCAAACAAGAGAATACTTTGAGCGGTTAATTTCTTTGTTCTTTTTACAAATTGCATTCACTTCCACGAGAGAAATTGTGTGCGCCGCTTTATTTTAGTTGGCGTTCTTTCAGTACTTCTTTGAGTATTTGGACGTCGTTTTTTTTCTCGCTTCTGCTACTGTTCATCGTTGTTGTGTCCAATGTGCTGTGGAAGCATTTGCGAATAACGATAACAACAACAACAATGAAAAAATGGAGTCATTTAACAGGTACTGGTCTATTTTGGGATGATTGGTGCTGGCAAGATAGTTAGAAACAACAATGAAACGATGCACACTACAAAGGATGTTCGTATACTAGTATCTATCTTTCACAAAGTTCAGCGCATACACACGGTCTGTGTGATGTGCATTGTGCATGTGTGTGGCCAATAAAGGCCAGAATTGGCGGTTAGTGCGCGAATTCTTAGAAACTCAATTATCGCCCGAATGTACTTTGGTTGCGGTTATTATGTTCGTTTCGGTTTTGTTGTTGTTGTTGGAAAATCGAACATGGAAGGCAAAGACACTGTTGTGGCAGCAGAAGCAGCAACAGATAAAAAACAAGCGATTACTCTGTGTTGGAAAAGCATGAAATGCGTTTCAGATGCAATTTGTTGCAAAGAAAAACCTATAATTTGATTAAGATTTTTCCTCTGTTTAATTACACCGATCATCCGCATTTGCCATCGGCTGATGGTGATACTGCTGCTGTTGCTTTTGCTATTGCTGCCATTGCTGTTCATATTTATTTACTGGCTTGCTTGCTAGTAGTCGACATGAAAAATCTATTTGCTTTTATTACTTTTCCACGCCAGCACATGTACATCAGAAGTATTGTAATGGGTTTATAGGAAATGAAACAATATCAATTATTTTTATGCTGAATATGAAACGCTGTAATTCTATATAATTCGTCTCATTTTAGTCTTTAAAAATGGAATGATGACTGCCATTTTATCATCGAATTAAGGTTCGTCAGATCCATCGCAATAATTCGGATGATTACATCAATATTTTTCAATGTTTTAAATTCTCTGGCCTGTTCGTTGCTCATGACTATTCGTACCGTGTCCAATATGCCTTTAGTTCGACGTTCTTCTGTAATTTGTTCGATATACATTTCCGGATGCGTCGTACCTCAACTGGAATTTGGTGTAGTGGCTGTTTAACGATGTTTATTTGCCGAATTTGTGGTGCAAACTGAATGATTTTTAATAGGTTACCTATAGGTGAATTGCTAATCAATGTAACATTTCGTACTTCGTGCATCGATGTCATCAGATTGCGAAAGAATGACTCGCGTTCACTGTAATCGTTGAATATCGAACATCCGCCGGAAAAATGGAACGAAATGCTTTTCAAACCAGCAAATCCATTTGAATACTCGAAAAATCTTTCGTTCTTTGTTGGCTCTATCCATTTTTTAATCTTTTGGTAAATGGTCAATTCGCGAAGTTGATTTTTCCGGGCCAAAATCTGAAGTGTACTTTCGAGATCATCGGCGGTGATTGATCGTGTTGTCAAAATTGCACGGCTCAAATGTTCAAACTGACCGAGAAAGTCGTAAAAGTGTGGATCATCACTGCGATTATTATTTATTATTATTATTTATTAACACCGCCAAATACTGGCTGTATGATAGGTACAATAGGTTTACATTTTTGGTTTCGTGTAGTTTTAAGTTTCTAGTTTAGTTTAGTTGTTTAGATTCGTAGGTTTAATTCAATAAATGATTGAGGTAGTCAAGTAGTTACTTAAATAGGTTTGAATAGAAATATATAAGTTTGTAGGTTTGTAGATTCAATAAATAAATGTTAAATAAATAAATAATTTGATAAATAATAAAAAGATAGGTATCTTGACTAGTAATTAACATTAGCATTAATTTTGTCTTATGTATCACTTTTTAGTTTCGTCCATGAGCTAAAGGCTTCGTTAGGCAATTTTATTAGTTTTCTTTTGAAATCATAGTGTGACAGTGTACGATCGATACGTAGAGAAGCCAA